TGGTTGGTGGGTTGGTTGGTTGGTTGGTTGGTTGGATGGTTGGATGGTTGGATGGATGAATGGAATTTTTGAAAAATATTTCTGACATTAAGAGGCATCCAAAAATCCATTAATACATCAGAAACTAGACTTACCGTATTTTCCGCCTCATAAGTCGCATCAATCCAAAAATGTCTAATAAAGTTGGAAAAAAAACATAAATAGGTCGCATCTATTACGCGTCACCGCTGACGACTCAAACGTGGGCCGGTGTTGTGCCAAAAATCGACTGGCTGCCAAATGGCGGCCGCAGGAGCGTGCACGGGAGGACGTTAGCAAGAATTTAACAAGATTACCACCTAAAAACAATTGTTTGTTTGCTCGACTTTACAGTAAAGGTGCGTCTCAGTTGAACTTTTACTTAATAAATTTCAACGGTCAGATCAGCTGCATTTCTCCGGGGCGTCGCAGCGAAGTGATGCTGATTTCACGGTTGCTCCAGGTGAGCTGGACGAAGGTGGCAGCCTATGGCAAGCTGATTGTGTCATTAATAGCCACTTTTACCTATTACATGACACAACGGCACGCCACACTACTCGTGTGCCATCTAGTGGCTAAAAATGGTAGTGTTCAGTATTTTCATATCTCGACCAAAAATTGATTCATAAATATGGAAAAATTCATAAATACGTCGCTTCCGCGTATAAGTCACAGGGCATGCAAATTACGCAAAAAAATTGACTTATAGGGCAAAAAGTACGGTAATAAGCTCTAATAAGCATAGAAGTCTAACTTTTATAGTTTTTATATGCTTCAGGTTGAAATTGAGTGTTAAAGTAACTTGGTTTGAATGAAAGGCATCGTGATTGCAACCAGACTAACATACTCTTAGCTTGGCTATTAAAATGATTAAACAATAAATTCACTGCAATATTACACTTTGGATTGCAAACAAATAACATCTAATTTAAATTATTGTATTTAGACTGAGTTTTCTTCTTGTAATCGGTTCAGGCAGAATGTCGTATCCGAGGCTGAAACTGTGAGAAACAGAGTGTCGTCTGCAAAGAAAGACGTTTTAAATAACACGGCTCAGATTCAGTGATCAGGTTTGGATTAAAGCTGGTCGAAAACATCTCTAATGATCAGTCCCTTTGTGTTCGGAAGGCTTTCACAAGATGAACTATGGGGAAGGAGGGGGTTGTCACGTGTTCATGTGTAGGTTGCTTCTCGCTCTGATCGTTTTTATAAGACTCAACCTGGTAGAATCGCTTTAAGGTCCCAGAAATACCAACAAATGCTGACGGCACACGCTCTAACCTTTTGGACTTGTACTTTTCAGCAGAAGTTGTAAACTGCTTTGACTAAATGTTCATTCTGAGATGTGGAGGGGCGATCGGGATGAGAAACGGGGAGCGTGTCAGAGGTCTCAATTACACGAGGGGCCGTGGGCGGGCAGGAAAATCATTCCGGTGGAGGCGAGCGTAGGAGGAACACACCAAATGACTTTGCCGCCATCTGCCTGGAGCGCACCGGCTTCGTCCTCTGCGGCAGGACAGGTGGCTGGTGTGCGCCCCACTTCTGCTGACTTCAGCCCTTTCCCTCCCCCGCCCCGCTTTACATTCCTTTATCTCCTGCCGGCATTGTTCGTTCCCCTCCGGCCCCGCCGCTCAATTAGCTGGTGTAGCGGTGCGCTTACAGTCCCAGCCCATTCCCCCGTCCCCGCTCCTCCTTTGCAATCCATACCACCCGATATAGAACGAAGGCGGCAGGTCACAGGCGTTGGAGATGGGGCGAACAGCAGCCCATTTCAATTTTTCATAGGTGTTATTTGGCCCTCAAGCTCAGTGATGGAGGGGGGGGGGGGGTGTCCTTTTGATTTTTAGAGGACAGGCAGGAAGGGCAGCGTGTGTGTTGGGATTAGGAAACAGGACTGGGCTCTTTTACAAAGTGGGTCCTGCCAGGTCTCCTCTCCCTTCTTCTGCTCAGCTCTGCTTATACTGTGAGACCTTCTGTTTGCACATAAACACACCTCCACTCGTGCATAAAGTGCACGTGCACCGAGCTGTCTCGCACACTGCTGGGTGGCCGGGCTCTCTGCACGATCTACATCTCACCTTCTGCGTCTGCTGCACAAGAGCTGAACGCCAACGGGCCCAAATCTCTTGTATCGCACTTTTGTTCCACCCTCGTCATTCAGTACCAGTTTATTTATTGTAATGTTTTTATTACGTGGAGGGTTTACAGGGACCGTTTTATAACCTTTAAAATCCTCTACTCTTTCGAGCCTTAAATTATATTTATATTTGTACGTTTTTCTCCACCCCCCGCCTACGGACAGCCTGTGAAGTACTCCAAGGTATGCTTTCTGCATCTTGCATGTTGTGCAGTGGTCCAGCTCGTCTCGTTTGCACGTGGACGGCACTCTTGTGTCAAAACGAGCTGGAAATGTCTGTTTCTCATCCAGCTAGACGTCGTCGTTCTAGATGTTGAAAATGAATTCACTGAGATGCCACTGGAGGCTACGGTGACCGTTTTGCTTGAAAATGTGTCAGTTTGTACGGTTCTGTTGAGCTTGCTGTATTGTGTTGCTGAGGCATGATTCTTTCTCCTTTCTATTTGAAATTGATAGAAGTTTAGTATTTAAAGTTGGCACTTCAAAGCTGTTTCACAAGAAAACAAACTAGAAACAAGTGAATGATGAACACCGTCCTGTTTGTTTGCCAGTGCGTCCCGTCGTTGGGCTCGTTGGTTGTTTTTGTATTCTGCTTTGGTTCGTTACTGTGAAATGTAATATTCAGGCTTCTAACTGTGCCCACCTACCCGCCTCACCCTTTCCCCCCCACTTAGTCCAACACCAGGCTAAAGCTTGTACGGAGCCTGGCAGTGTGTGAAGAATCGTTTCCTTGTGCTGTTCCCGAGCCTTCAGCAGCACCTCAGGTAAAACCCTTTCCAGAATAAGAGCAGTGTGTTTCCATCAGAGATAATAATAATAATCATTTTATTTAAAAAGCGCCTTTCATGACACCCAAGGACACTTCATCGTAAGAACAAAGGAGATGTGCTGCTTGGTATTCTGTGCTGTGCTAAACGTTCATATCGTAACTAGGGCTGGGCCATATCGTGTCGTTCACGAGAATACCGGTAAAAAAGCTTGCCCGGGCAAAAAAAGATATCATGATATGCTACTTTCATGACGTTATACGTCGGGGCGCCCCGCCCCCTTAACAGAACCGAGCGCGCCGAACGACCA